ACCCCAGTCTGCCAGTCCAGAACCACCACCCCAGTCTGCCAGTCCAGTGTCTCTGCCCCCGATGTCCACGTGATGTTGCAAAGGCGTGTCCACCAAGACAGCCCCACAACATCCAGAGTCTTAAGGTTGATGTTGATTAAAATGAAAGTTTAGGACAAATAATAATACTTTGTGTTTTTCTGATGTTGTGTGTTTGTTGTGTGTGCAGATAACCACTACAGTCACCTGTGCTTTCTTGATTGTTAAAGTCATTTTATCAAAGGTGAGAACCATTTCCTCACAAAAAGAAACTTCTGTAAAAACTCTTGAGCTGCGTTACTCATGGCTCAAAACAAAAATATATTTTATTGTTTCTTATTTAGTGATTTTTACAAAATGTATCGGAATCTTTATTCACATTGTTTGTGTATAAATAAATGATCCTGCAATGTGTCCTGTTTAAACTTCACCTTCATCCTGCTTTTATTCTTTTCTGAAAAAAAATAAATGCATTTTTCAGCACATGTTATTTTATCCCTGCAGGAAAAGAAGGTTGCATTAAAAATATATTTATTTTTATTAATCAAGTTTATAGTTGACATCACTGATCACAACATGTGTTAAATAATTTTTGTCCGTCTACGGCATTTTAGAGAAAAATAAAACCGTTTGTTCACACTTTTTTACACAAAATTTAAACTCTGACACAATTTTCTGGTTCAACATTTACATTTTGATGGTTTAGTGCCAGTTTTCACATTACTCGTTTCTACAAAGTGCGGTTTGATTTAAATTTTGTGTATTTGTTTATGCATTTAGAACCCGTTTGAGGTTTTTATTTTGTGGTCTGTTTGAGCGTAGCTGCTGTCTCAGGGGGCCTTCGGCTATCTGCTGCCCATCATCTCCTTCGTTCTGGCCTGGATAGAAACATGGCTGCTGGACTTCAAGGTCCTGCCTCAGGAGGCCGAAGACGAAAAGAGTGAGTCTCGGTGCTGCAGATTCTTTTATACTTCACTTGAAGGTATTTTTCAATCAGCCGTACATGTATTTAGTTAATTCATGGGAATAATACATGGCTGCTGCTATTTGTCTTTATTAAACTAAATTCTCTTTGAGCTGTGAGTTTATTCAAATAAATTTATTTGTTCAGAAATATTTTGCCGCATCTTTTAAAAGACGAGGCAACGAACGGATAAATGACATCACATTTAGTATTCAAACCACCTCTTTAACTTTAAATCAGGGTTGACCAACCTTCCCTAACTTTTGTTTTCCAAGTCGAAGTTTGGAGATTTTGAGTTTCAGATGAAGCAACAGGTCAGAAAATTCCTCGTTGGGTTGAGTAAGAAACCTGCGTAAAGTTCAGTGTTTTCAGAGGCTTCAGTGAAAAACCACAGAGGTGCGGAGGAGTCAGCCACTTCTGTCTTTGGTCTTTCTCTGAGTTGCTGCTGTTCCAGATGTGTTCTTCCTGTTTGTGTTGCAGGATATCAGTCCTTTGTGGACGCCGCTGAGCGAGCCACTCTCATCGGTCCCGGTCCGGTGTCAGATGGGCAGTTTTACTCTCCCCCAGAGTCTCTGGCAGGTCTGAAAACAACTTATGCCTCACTCCCACCTCTCTGCTTCCTCTTTCTGTTGCACCAGTCACATGATGGATCAGCTGCCTGATTTACCATAATTGCTGCTCTATAGAGTGCACTTGAATATAAGCAGCATGCACACAAAATAAAAAAAACAATTTTGTACATACAGTATGGATAAGCCATGAGTGTTCACGTTGTAACATAAGTGGCAGCACAGCTACGGAGAGAGATGTTCAGCTCTTGTTGTAGATCAAGAATCAACAACCAGATGATGTTTAATCCTGTCTCTTCCTGTTCAACACACACAGACAGAGAGAACCCCACAGGTCTTCATGAAAACTACCTCCCGCACTCATGGTTACTCTACTGAAGGTCTAACACAAACTAACACGCAGCGAACACAAACTAACACGCGACGAACACAAACTAACACGCAACGAACACAAACTAACACCCGACAAACACAAACTAACACATGACGAACACAAACTAACACGCGATGAACAC